GTTTAGGGCTGTTGTACATAGGGTCGCTATGAGTCGCAGGCGACTCGACGGCACATAACAACAACAACAACAAAGGAAGATCCATCAAAATTGCATAGGATCTTAATATGATTTGTTGTTGTTGTTGTTGATTGCCTTTGAACCGAGCACAACTCATAGCTACCTTCTGGATAAAAGGCCTGAAGCCCCTCTACAACTAGCAACATTTATCAAAGTTCATGGACACATAAAACAGAGCAAATTCCAGCACAGAAAGGCTGTGCACACAGAGCAAACTTCCTCACAGATTTGAAAGGCTGTGATCTTCACAGAAGCCGACTGCCGCAAACAGATGAACTCTTTTGGTTAGGAATAAGCACTTAACCATTGTGCCAGGAGGATTCTTGATGTACCTTATTCATACTCTAAATACGACTTTGTTGAATAGGTTATATATGTGCTGTCAAAATTATGGCTCTAGTAAAGCTTCATCCAAAGGATGAAACCCATACTGGACTAAGCAGCCCCCCTCTTCAACAGAACGAGGTCCCTGAATCGCTGGAAGCAGCCTGCAGGGGAGATGGGTCTGGGTCAGCATCCACAGATGTGATGTGGTGGTGGGGCTGTTTGGTTCCCAGCTCTGACCTCTTCTTACACAAACCCAGGTAAAGGGTTAACTTTTCCTCCAAATATGCAATCTTTGCTCATATGGAATCATCACGAACAAGGAGAGAGAATGGACCATTAGAAAGTGCTTGAGTTTAAGGACACGCAGGTGAATCTAAACTCCATCACTTACCAGCTACACGACCCTAAAAATGCTCAGAAACATTTCAAATCCCCAGTTTGTGCATCTGTGAAATAAGGATTCTTACTAGGAATGTCTAGCGCTATTTTTGAGTATTCAAAGGGGTGAGTCATCTGGCCTGATATACAGAGGAGCTTAGAATTGTGACTTCACTCCCTTCCAATTCATCATAATCACGCCAAATGGGACATTAAGAACTTGTACGAGGAGTGCCCCCTTCCACGGGATCCTAACGACAAAACGATCACTAACCATAATCATTTTTTCTATAGATACCATAAAAGCCATTCAAATATATATTGTTGTTGGATTAATTTCCAGCATAGTAATCCTTCAGCACAGACTGGAATTGCCCTATAGTGGTTCCAAGGTCATAATCTTGCCTGGCGTGGACTCCCACATGTTTCTCCCCAAGTGTGGCTGGTGGGTTTGAACTGCTGACCTCTCAATTAGCAGATATGAGGATGGCCACGGAACCAGCAATGAAATGGAAAATCCAGTTCTGTCATTCATGTATTTCCAACTCATGGTGACACTTTAAGACAAAGTAGGACAGCCCCATAATGCTTCCAGGGTACATAGTACGAATTCACCAGCCATTGTGCAGGAGAAGGGTGAGCGACCCTCTCCTGTGAGAATTATCGCCTCTGAAAAGGCACAGGAGCGTCAGCTGTGTGTCACTTGAGGCCGGACTTGATGGCCTACAATAATCTTTACTGAAGCTAAGTGCCACACTTTTTTCCTATGGAGTAGGTAGTGGGTTTGAACTGCCAACCTTTCTGTTAACAGCTGAGTTCTTTAGTGACTGTACCACCGGGGCTCCATAAAAACAACATAAGAAGCTTTAATAAAGATCGTAAGACAGGTCAAATCTATGGGTGCTCTTACTGGTAACTGGAGAAGACACAAATAGCTCACACAAGAAGTGAGAGTGTCTGTCATTACTCATTTATTATTGAGAGAATGTTTCATTTAACTAACATTTCTCTAGAACACCCAGGCATTTCTTTTTTTTTTTTATTTTTTTTTTCTTCAGACATTTCTTAAGAGTCAGCTGCACCATGCATTTGAAAAAGTATTCCGAAAGCATTGCCACTTACCCCTCCAACCTTCTCAAAGTGAGATCCTTCCTTCTTAAAATCCGTGAGGGCACCGTTGAAATACCAGGTAAAGGTGATGTCTAAAAGGGGGTCGTGTTGTACCTGGCAAGGCAAAATGACACTCTCGCCAACCGACACATCCATGTTTGCTGGCGCCAAAGTTATTCTTGTTGGTTCTATTGGGGAAAATTGTCAAAGTGAAATTTTAGCATTTTTTTTATTGTTATGAAGAAAACTTCAAAGCCACATTATTAGTTATAGTATGTATATTTGTATATACACACAAACACACAAGTAAAACCATCAGATAAAAACAGGGAGTTTTATAAAGGGCTAAAACTGATTTCAGTGGATCCACAAATTCTTATGGGAATGTGATTATCTGTGTGTATAGCAGTGTCTGAGTTGAAAAATCAATGTCATCTGTAAAAAAGGGTCGTAACACTGTAACAAAACCAATTTCAACTTGATTTTATAGTTTTAGGAACTATCAGGAAAGAAAGAGAAACCACTGTGTTTGTTTTAACTTTGAATTACTGGCAAATACATTACTACCACCACAAATAGATCCAAACAGTTCGGGTTACTATGGATTTGGAAGACTACATGTATGTAGTTTAGAGTGCCTCTTTTGAAGGAGTATTATGCTAAAAATGTGGGAGTGCGAGAAGAATGAGCAAGTTCCCCACCTGCAACTCCTGCTTCTGAAACCCCCCCGGAGGGTCAGTTATGTGTCATTTCCCATTCTAAGGTACACAACAACAACAGCAACATACTAAAATGTTAATGCCTGATTTCTCATTAGTATGTCAGTATGTACCTTTCCTTATCCTTATCCCCCCAGACTTTCCGTTCACCATGAATGGCTCCCATCTCCCCATTGTTCCTTCATTTCTTTCCTCCAAATCACAGCAAATAACCCTTAAAAGAGTCATATATATCTATCACTGGCCAGTCCTCTATTACCTTTTCTCTTCAGCCCATTCCAGGCAGGCTCCTCTAGTCCCTGAGTGACCTGTCCTCACTAAGGTCACCAAAACCCAGCCTTCTGTTAATGCCAGTCTAAACTCTTCAGTCTCCTTTACCTGGCTCCATCATTTACTTCACCATACAGTGCTTGACCACTGTCTTTGGCTGACTCAAAGTACGTGTCTAGCGTCTGAGACCTACACTCTCACATTTCTCCTACCATAATGGTCACTCCAGTTCTGCTTCCCTTTGTGGTCTATTTTCTCAAATTTCTTAATGTTACAGCACTTCAAGCTGTTTGATCTTTTTTTAATCTCTGTCCATATCACTTTGTTTAGTGACTTCATCTAGTTCTACCAACTCTTGGACGCACCTCTCCATCCTTAACCAAATACAAATTCAGATCTGCTCAACAGCTCTGTGCGGGTGGCGTGATAGACGTTACTGACAGACATTACCATTCCTCTTAATAGCGCACCTCTTTCTGAACACACTGTAGCATTACATTCTTAACCTCTTTGGATTTTGGCATAATCACGAGCTAAGTGATGCATGTTAATGCCAAGAAGACATCTGGAAGAATTAATGGGGATTCTACTTGTTCTCTTTTTCCTTGCCATAGGCAAGAATATGTCAGATGGTGGAGGTATAAAACCTGCTTTTCTGAGTGCAGATAGAGCAGTGGTCCATTATCAACTTACACCACGAGCGAAAAGGTAGCAGTCTACTAAAACCTTTGGATTATTATTACTGTAGCATACTACGATCAGCTTTACAAATATATAACCCAATACAAAGCTACAATCTATCATCTCTAGAATGGAGCTCCTGATATCCACCCTTCCCAAACCTGTCCAGTCTCCACTTCCCCCTCTCAGCTGTCATTCTTCTTGCAGTTGACCTATCTTGATTCTTTCTCTTGGACTAGTTTATAAACAGAGCCTGCTTGCCCTTCATGGAGGTTGTGATTTAGAGTGCATACATGCAGAATATCTGCAGAGTCCGACCCTTCTCATCCCCTCCTGTCTTGACCCCTCACATGGGCCTCTACCACGACATGCCTGGATTCCTCAGAAGGCTTCTGAGATCTTTCCAGTCTGCCCTTGAGTTCTCTCAGGCCACAGAGCAGGTGGGGTGCTCTGTTAACATCTTCCAGAATAAGTCTGCCTTGCTCCAACCTTGCACTACTTTCATTATTCACCGTAACTAAAAGATATAGTCCTAAATACAGTCATCAGAGCCCCCACAAAAGGGTCCCTAGAAATCTGTTGGTGGATGCATCCATCTCCAGTAAATCTTTGCCAAAATCCTTCCTTAGGAACGAGGTCTGCTCTGGCCAGCTCAGGCCACGCTCGACCTCGCCTTTCTCTGCACAAGTCTCTTTACTTTTTCTGCTGATCTTTCTCCCTTCTAATAATGACTCTTCTGGATTCCTTTCCCCCCCCCTTCTTTAAATAGAATGTAAGGTTCAGGAGGATGGTGTCTGTCAGGTAACTGATATCTATAATATGGTAGGTTGTCAAATGCTTAATGAATGAATAAATGAATGAAAAATACTCATCACTCTAAGAAATGCCTACTGCTATAAAGAATTCTTCCACTGGGGCTAACGTCTACAAAAGGTGTCAACAATAATGGAAAAGAAAAAGCGGACCTGAGAGACGTGACATAACAGAGGAACATTAAATAAAACTCTGCATCAGCACTTGCTATTAGTAATCTTATTGCCCATCATCACAGTACAGCAACTAATGTGTTCCAGGGTTCATGCTGTGCTGTGTCAGGAAACATTAAGAATCGTTCCCTTGATTTTACCTCTTAAAATGAACACAAGTGAAAACACAAGTTCTGTCTTCACAGTAAGCTACACATTGCAGAAAACACAAACTTTCTTGGACTTTACTAACATGCCACAAGGCATATGCTTAAGTTGAGTGGCTTTGATGGAGAGCCTGTACCTGTAACAACCAAGCGTGTGGTGCCGTTAGCTTTTCCAAACTGGTTTTCGGCCATGCACGTGTAAGTTCCCACGTCGGCTTTGGTTACATTGGCGATCTGGAGTCCTCCGTCCTTTAAAAAAGAAATTCTAAGGGAAATACAAATCAGACAAATAAACATGTAACAGGGGGGTTTCCCAAAGAGCAAAATGTTTATAGGCTAATTTGCCTAAAACTAGTATTTGTAAGGCATAATAAACTAGTCCTTAGCTTTCTTGGAAACAAAGAAAATTTAAAGCAAATTTGCAGGAACACATCTGAGTGAAAAAACGAGAATCAATTCCAATATGTAAAAGTTTAAAGATTCTGAGCATAAAGTTCGTAATGCTCTATCACATACCTAACTAAGGAAGGGAGGGCGGGAGGGAGGGAGGAACTCCTGACAATCTATTAAGACAAACAAAGCCCTGCCATCCTCAGATCTACTCGGTAGCACAGGCTGCTGCCATGTGCCATGACCTTGACTGTGACAGAACCAGCCTGGCTCATACTGTTTTGCTCTTGATACTGAACGTACGACAGATACCAGGCACTGTGAGCGGGACAAGGTCTTTCGTGGAAGTGATATTCTGGTGAGTAGCATCCACAAGGGACAAATAAATGCTATCACTTCAGAGTGTCAGAAACTAGCCTGATAGAGAGTCACAGAGCACATGACAGAATAGCAGCTTTTGCCATTGCTATCGTAGAACGGTATTTTTGTTAAAAAAAAAAAAACTTCTCAAATCAGATGCCATTTGAACACAAAGAAAAATGTATATAGATGACCAGTAAGCAACATGACAAACAGAGGAAAGCTGGATGCTGTAGAGGATTTCATTTCATTTAGATCCACAAGCAATGCCCATAGAAAACGTAGTCAAGAAAACAAATGTACTGGTTGCTGTACAATCTTCTTGAAATTGTTTCAAACCAAAGATGTCACGTTCAAGACTCAGGAGGACCTAACTCAAGTCATGACATCACTTCCCATTACCCTGTATGAATGCGGACGTTGGATGGATGTTGGCTCAAAGCAGAGAATACCAGAAAGATGCTTATTTATGCTTTATTAACTTTGCAAAGGCATTTGACTTTATGGATCACAACAAATTACAGAAAAGAATGACAAGAATGAGAATCTTGGCACATTTAATGTGCTCACATCAAACCTCTATATAGACCAAGAAGTAAACAGAACAAAGAAAATACTGCATGGTTTAAAATCACCAAAGGTGTATGTCAGAGTTGTTGCCTCTCTCCATACCTATTCATTCTGTACGCTGAGCAGACAATTCAAGGATCTTTTCAGTTGCTTCATATGCTTCTGAATATTTGACAATGACCAAAGATTGAAGAACTGATGTCATTGAATTATGGTGTTAGCAAAGCGCATTGAATATACAAGAGACTTACAAAAGAACTAATTAGTCTTAGAGAAAAAGCAACCAGTAAGCAAGGAAGTGAGGCTTTGTCTCATATTCTTTTGCAATGTTATCTGGAGGGATCAGTTCTTGGAATAAGGCAGCAGCTGTAACAACGGGTTTGAGAGGCAGAAGTTGTGAGGGTGGCACGAATGGACTTCATGAGGACCAGGCTTGGTTTCACTCTGTCACTTATTAGGGTCACTGTGAGTCACAGTTAACTTGATGCCACCTAATAGCAAGCACAATAAGAGTGTGCGCATGTGTGTGTGTAACCACAATGGTTAAACACAAGTGGATAGTTAGTTAATGGTGGATAGCTAGACTCCACCATAAGAAGACTCCCACAAAGCTTGGGGCCATGAAACCTGATGGGGCAGTTCTACTCTGTCATGTGGCTTCACTGTGAATGAGAACTGACCCAATGGCACACAGTAACTGCACACACACATGCAGATGTTATATGACGAAAAGTTGTAGCTACGTTTAGAAGGCCCCCACCATGGAGCCCATTCCAGCTCACAGAGACCCTGTCAGGGGCCGGAGATCCACCTTGCACAGTCAGCAGCTTGGCATCTTCTGGAGCGGACAACCTTATCTCTCTCCCAGGGCACAGCTGCTAGGTTCAAACCACTAACTTCCAGGACACCAGCTGACTTCTTTAATTGCCATGCCACCAGGGCTCTGTTAAACTGTCCCTCTGGGATGAGAGCTTGAAAATGTGGAAATGCACCTGCACTGCTGGGAAGACGTCAGCAGAGAGGAAGAAACGTAAGACAGAGAGGAGAGAAGGAAGACAGGAGGGTTGATGGCAGGAAAGAAGAGATGGAGGGAAAGAGCGCAAGAGAGGACCCAGAATCCTCTGCGGAGTCCAGTGAAGAGCAGTTCCCCTTGATACAGCGTGAGTGTTAACTCTCCCAAGGTACGTTTCTGCCACGGCTCCCAAAGACTGTAGTCCTTGACCAACATCATTGTTCGGTAAAGTTAACCCATCATCACAGTTTTTGAAATTCCAAGTTTGCTTGGAATTTTAGTACTACAAGAGAAAAAGCTGGTGGATAACTACCAGAACATCCCAAGGACAGTGACGGGAGGGGCCTAATCACCCTCTCTGAATTACTGAGGGGAGGCGGACCTGGAGGCTCACAGCCCCTGGGAAACCTACCAGCTGTGGAGAATGTTACTGTTTGATGCTGGCAAGTTGCCTCCGACTCACAGGGACCCCACATGTAAAAGAAGGAAGCCCTGTCCAATTCCGTGCCATCCTCCAAATCTCTGCTGTGCGTGAGCCCATTGCTGCAGTCATTTCTATACACGAGCTGAGAGTCGTCGACTCTCTCGAGGTAAGGTGCCACTGAGATGAGTACTGCTCATAGCAACCCTAAGAATCACAGTGCCCCCTCAGGGTCACTGACCCACTCAAGCCCGCGGCTGCAGTCACTGCATCAGTCCATCTCGTTGGGAGTCGTCCCCTCTTTCGCTGACCCTCAACCTCGCTATGCATGATGTCCCTTTCCAAGCAACAGCCTCTCCTAGCAACGTGGCCAAAGTATGAGAGACAAAGCATTGCCATCCTTGCCCCTAAGAAGCACTTCAGCTGCGCCTTTTCCAAGACGTATCTGCTTGGTTTTTTGACTGTCCACGGGGGGTATCCCACACTCTGCATAACTCAAAGGCATCAATCCTTCTTCTGTCATCTTTTTCTATGAGGCAACATTTAAAAACCCTGAAATGCCTCTTTGTAGGTGAACACAAGTTGAACTCAGACTTAGCCATTCTAATTTGTGAACTATAAAACAGAGACAGACCATTTCAGATATTTTCCCATGCTGTAATTAACGTAACAGCTAATTGTCCCCTTTGCACGTAGTATCACCTGGAATATTGGAAACCCATTAGCATATCAGTGTTACCGGCTTGAAACAAGAAAACCTGTCTTCACGACCATGGTAACTAAGGGAAGCACCACTTCAGACCTAGGTCTAACACCAAAGGAATGAAGCAAAGTCCCCAGAACAAACACATGGACTCCCAAAGAATGCAGACTCTGTGCATATCCTAAAATTTTGAGCTAATTGGATATTTTCTCCTCAGATTGGTTCTTCCAGTAAGTTCTAAGAGGCCCACGGGGTATTCTGCACAACATAAAAATAAACAATATTCAGTAAATGGATGGAGTAATTGTTTCTCAACAGAAAGCCTTCAATAACCCATGCCTCCCTACAGAGATCCAAAGTGAAAATTTCATACCACTTCACTCACTAGAAATGAAATTGCTTTCTAAGCTTCCTGGGAATGGGGAGTTTTGGTTGGGTTTTGTTTTTTTTAAAAAAATATTTTTATAGACGGGTAGTGCTGAAAACACAGAAAACGGTGAGATACCCTGGTCTTGGCACACAAAATCAAATGCGGCTTTCTGAGATAAACATGCAGAAATGTAGCATTCCAGGTTACGTTTAGAAATGTGCAGCTGACATCAATCATGGGCATTTTAACTATTTGATCACTTTTATTATAGCCTTTTTTATGTATCCTTTTACTGGTCTTCTCTTTCATAGTAAAAGAGGTTAATTATTTCCTTGTACCTGGTGCCGTCTATGGTTAGTTCAGGATAAGTAAACTTAATTGCTCTAAGCTGTTCTAATGGTTCTTACTATAATTCAGTGATGACATTGAACTTATGACTGTTCAAAAATCCTGTCTGCTTGGAAAGTGGACTGTTGTCTAGGCAACACTGACCTGTACTTTGCGAGGACATTTAAGCATGTATAACATGGAGTTTGTCCTGAAATGGGGCAAGTGTGGAGCATTTCATACCACACAAAGGGCAGGAATTGGAAGAGACTGCTTTCCCGTGCTTAGGCTGTGAAGAGTACTGTCATTTAGTGAACTTGGACTTTAACAAACACACCACAACTCTACATTTTCTCTGGACACATTCATCAGTGGAGATAAGACCACATGAGATCGTAATGATTAAACTGCTGTTCAGAAAATAACAAGGCTATTTCAGATGGCACTTTCTAAGCACATATTCCAAGAGATGGATGTTTATAATTAGCTGTAAGGGGGAAAAGAAAAAAGTACTCACAATGCATATATTACTGGGTAGATAAAGACAGTTTAAAAAGCAAATGTATTGATGAGAATGCAGGAGGCAATGAATGTCAGAGAGAAACAGTAGAGAGTGCACGCTCCCATTACTGGGTCCTCTCATCCCCACCTGTTTGGCTGATCAACTTTTCCCCCTGAGTTCAAAGATAACCTACAAACAGCAGCTAGCAAATCAGATCATGACCTTTATCCTATTAGCTGCACCACTCTGGACCCCCTTCTTCTAAATTCAACAAAGTTAGGTTAGTGATTTATTGGTTAGAAAATGTCTAAGGAAAAGTGCAGCAGAGTGGAGGAGGACTGTCAGTTAATTTACTTATCTTTGAATGAGCACAGGGCTAATCCACGCGGCTGGGTGGTTGTGTGGGACTCACTGCGTGGAGTAGACCCTTCACTAGAAGACAATACACACTAAAGAGACTTCTTCACTTTTACAGAATCACACAGAATGCATATCTGTCACGGCAGGTAGATTTGAGAGTTACATTCATTTTTATGACAACAATTCACAGAGGTTTTACTCTCAATTAGATAATCCGATGAGAACCTTAGGTTAACACAGTATGTAAAAG